TAAGAATACATTGGCACCATTTTCTTTAAACAAAGATTCTACCAACCTAATTTTAAGGATATGTGATATTCATAGTTACATAAAAGATGGTATACTGGGATACGTGATAAGCATACCATTAGTAAATAGAGGTACCTTTACCATATTTCGATTAATACCCTTGCCCATTGTTATAGACAAAAGTAAATTTGTATACATTGAAACGGAAAACCGGATCTTATGCATAGATCAAACCAGGCAATATTATTTTGCAACAACCAGAGACGAATTAAGTCACTGTAAATCATTAGAAACAGGTACATATATATGCAAACAAAGTCAGCCCTTGTTAAATAGCCATATGCAAGAATCATGCATAGTCAAATTATTACAACCAAGGATTAACATTCCAAAAATTTGTGATACAAGAGTAGTACAAATTACACATACGATTTGGACACAGTTAGAAAAAAGGAATGAATGGATTTATTTTATTCCTTCCAGTGACAGTATTACAATTCTATGTCAAAACAAAGAACCCATAAACGTTGTGCTTAAGGGCACTGGAAAACTAAAAATTGAAGCCGGATGTAAAGGCTATAGTCAAACGGCTTTATTATCAACAAAAAGTGAAATTCTAGCAAATACGTCAAGGTATGGAGGAGATCTCTTGTCTAAAGTACAATCTCAATTTGATTGTAGTGAGCAATTAGGTATTTCATTTAACCTAAGTAACATTGATCTAGATTTTAAATTCAAACAGGTAGTAACGCATATGGAAGATCTAAAGTATGCTAGTTTCAAAATTTCAGAATTAGAAAAAATGGCAAAAGAACAAGAATGGAAACACAATCATACCCAGTATTATAAAACATACTCCGTACTAGTATACGTTGCTCTCACATTACTTGTTATGTATGGAGTATACAAATTGATCAAATTCATTATAGCACGTTGGAAAACAACTAGAAGTTTACGGGCCATTACAATGACAACAACAGATCGCCTAGGTTTATCCACAGAATCCAGTGGAACAGGCAATGTAGTTAACATTAATATCAAAACCAACAACGAGAGTCTAGCCATCAACCCCGAAACAATCCCGCTTCAAGACGTCGGAAACACCTCTACGAGTGAAGGCACCCCGGAAATTCGGAGATCCCGGCGGTTAAGGACCCCCAAATCATATTTCTAAGCCCAATTAAGGTATAAATTGGCCTTTCTTTAAGAGGGGAGGTGTTATATACGGGTCAATTATAGAAAATACGTTAATTAGTATATCCAATAGCTTTAGGTACAAAGCTTCAAATTGTGACTATTTATGTAATCGGTACTCTCCCAAGGCTATTTCAAAACAAGTTATTTTCAGTAAAGGAAAGCAGGATGTTTCCACTGATTTCTAAATCATCCCTAGTGGTCAGCTAGTAATAGAATTTACTGTAAACAAGCCAATGACCTTATATGCAGTGGCAGAGTACCGAACGAAATGAAGAAAGCTATTATTTTGTAACCATTTTAGAAAGTTAACTAAACGTGTATAAAAGCAAGACGACCGACCACCCTTATTCACTCTCTGAACTTGAGTCTGGTTCGTCTCAACGCTAGAAGAAACTCGACTCCTGTTAGAAGTCGGCTCTGCCCGTGCTTAGGCAGATCAACATCTCTCGATACCTGGATCTCGCAACAACTTGTACCGATTTTATTTGCAATAAAATCTCAAGTCAACCTCCAGCTTGCAGTACTTCGATCACCCCTAACTGCCTCCCAAGGGATCCGCTCGCCCTGCCAACCTATCCCAGCTCGGGATACAACAAACCTTTGAATTCCATAGAAACAGGTACATTTATTGACTAGATTAATGACGGAAAGGCTCTGCTCTGTGCAGTTTCAGAGCAGCTGTTGCAAAAACGTTGAGCTTCGCCGGTCGCGCGGTGGTTTTAATCCTACTCCTAACTATAAAGTATAAAGTATAAAGTATAAAGTTTAAAGTGACGCTGCTTTTCCAGTTTCAGATTCGAATCATGGGAAGGAGAGAGGAAACCTGTAAAATGCATTGCGCCGTGGTCTTGCGTCTCCTACTAATTTTTCTCCCTGGTAAGAAGAAAAACATTTTACTTCATTGGATCGCATAGTGCTGATCAATAATTCTATTTAATAAAAAAATTCTGCGCTAATTTCTGCAGCCATGGTGTGCGGACAAGGATGCGCTCCTAAGAACTACGGCACAAACAAGGTTGTCTGTGTGTGTAACGCCACGTACTGTGATAATCTACACCCGCCAGAAGAACTTCTTCAGCCCGGATATTATCTCCAATACACCTCAACACAGACCGGAAAACGTCTAGTACCTATATCAATGCAAATGTCGAAGAAAGGTAAGAAATTAATACATTTCTTTTAATGTTTTGGTGATTGTACCGAGGATATACTTAATTTGTCTTTGTGGTTTGATCATTATTTGCACTTTAATATATGCATAAAGGATTTCTCTTATTTCTTGAGAAAATCATGAGATAACACTCACAGGAGAATTCTTCAACAATAATCTTCTTGTTAATCGATGTAATCGATGTCTCATACAGTTCTTAAAAGCATCGATAAATAAACCAAGAGGTTAAGAAAAAGAAATGTCACTTCTCACAGAAGTTAAATTCTTCTGCATATGCTTGTGGTCATTTAATATTACAAGTCTCATTTTTTAATTCTTTCTTACCTATTTATTTCTATAAGTCATATATATGCTGAAATTTTGCAAAGATAAGTTGCTTTTTTCAATTTTATATACTATTAAGTTAGATTTTGAAATAAAATTGTTTGAAGCACTACTAGTTTACATTTTCCCGTCGTTATTTACGGGCAAATGTTCTACTTTCTCTCATAATGTATTTATTTTCCCAATGCAAAGCTCCCTCTACTGGCGACGTGTGGAAAGTGACGAGTTCAAAGCAGTACCAAGAAATAATTGGCTTCGGCGCAGCGATAACTGATTCTGTGGGTATCAACATTGGCTCACTAGAAAAGGATGTCAGAGAATCTCTACTCAAGTAAGCAAAGCCCATCAGAAGTCATACAAAGTCCTATAAAAATAAATACCTTATACATCCTAAGTCTAAATACCATTCAGAAAGACAGAAACACTTATGAGATTTCGGGTTCTCACGGCGATGAATACGAAGATGACTGTCTTCTGGGATATCGTGGCACGTAGTTTCGTAGAAGTTTAATCGGCGTTTCATAGGTGATTGTTGCCTCCAACAAGAGAGCGATCATCGCCAGCAGCAAGAACACCTCTGAAACGTCGGTTAAATTTCTACCAGACTACACGACACAATATTCCAGAAGACAATCATCTTCACGAGGTGTATTATTTAAAACTCTCGTTTGTAAGAGCTTCGATTTTCGTCCGAGTTATTTTAATGTATTTTCAAAGTGCTTTAAAATCTAAACGATGTACCTTATTTCTCAATCAGCCAATACTACGGCCCAGAAGGCATCGGTTACACATTGGTTCGAGTCCCGTTAGGTGGAACTGATTTCTCAACTAGGTTCTACACTTACGATGACGGCACTGCTGACCCTACACTGTCTCGCTTTAAGCTAGCGGATGAAGATTATAAATACAAGGTAAGAAATTACATACATCGGCTTTATACGAAATGAGAAATCTATTTTCCTACCTGAAGACATAGCCAGCCGTGAAATATCGTACACAGTTTTGTGAAAACAATTAAAAATGTCCATCGAAAACATTTGAGTAGGCACCAGACGGCCTACTCAAATCGTTTTAGTAACATTTTTCATTAACCTAAGGGGCATGGTAGTTTTATTTTTTTATTTGTAGTGTTCTGTCTGACGACAGGTCCATATATTATGAACAGGATCCTTCCAACCTCTTCAGGTTGTCAGGCACCTGCTCATATATATATACATTCTTGGCAGAGATGATCAGAAGTGGTTTGCCATTCCCTTCTTCTGTGTGTGAATGGAGTAATTGTTGGGATGCCACGGAGAAACCGGGGAAGCCCCCGGAGGAAAACTCCGTGTTGCCTAGACCACGGCCTTGCCCAACACAAGTTATAAATCGAACCCGAGACCCCAGGATTACAAGACCAGCGTTCTAACCGCTAGAC